ATAACTTTATTGTCACTTTGAATGTACACTAATCGGCATACATTAAAATGAAATTTCATTGCATACAGTTCTCAAAGGGTCACCACCTCCAATATACACTACATAAATATGACAAAATAAATACATACAAAATTATGTATATACCCACATATATTATATGACACAGAGAAACAACACAGTCTAGTTCAGATCTATACGGCGAGAAAACCGAATCTTGCGAGTTTACCAGATGGATGGCATAGGGAACAAAGCTGTTACAGAATCTGGTAGTCTTGCTATAGATACTTCGAAACTTCCTCCCAGGGGGGAGCAACAGAAACAGATGGTGAAATGGCTGCGTGGGGTCTCTAACAATGCTTTGAGCTCTAAGCACATAGCGCTTATAATCAGTACCCTGAATAACAGGAAGCGAGCTTCCTATAACCTTCTCACCTGTCCTCACCACTCTCCGTAGGGACTTTCTATCGGAGGCGCTGCTGCCACCAAACCAAACAGGGATGCAGTTTGTTAAAACACTCTAAAATAAAAGCATGTTGCAAGACAGCGGTCTCTCTTTGTGACACGGAATAAATACTGTCCCCCCCACCCCCCGAGGAACTTATAGGAGAAAGTAGCAGGATCCATAGAGGTTGGGGCGATCCACGTAAGAAGGGGGTCAGGCTTTGATCACTAGCTGTGTTGATATTTTGACCTTTCCCTGCAAACACTCCTGTCCCAATCTCTCTCCTTAACATATATTTGAATTCTTAGATTACAGGTTGTCCACTACTTACAACGGTTCACTTAGTGACTATTCAAAGTTCCGAGACTGGACAGCCCCCCCTCCCTCTGAAATGGTACAGAGTCTCTTGCTTGAGCAGGGGGTTGGACCCCCACTGCATCCGACCCACCATGGCTAACTCTCCGCCAGTGTTTTTCTCCTGCTACTGGTCTCCTGTCCCCTCATCCTGGCCGATTCCGAGTGTGACACTTGTCCGTGGCCAATAGGCTACATGTGTCTATTTGCGTGGGGCAAATAGACACATGTCCGTGGCCAATCAGCTGTGTGGGACTAATAGCTGTGAATTTGGACACTGGACTGCCGGTGAAGTAGGCACGGCCATGCACCTGTTAATTGTCCCATTCTTCCACGTAGGAAAGCCAACCAATAGAAAGTGCTGTAGCCATGTTGTTTCAGCACGCGGTAACTGACCTGGCTAAACCATGCTTCTGATGAATCATGGCTTGTTGAATACCAGCATTAACTTGAGAGTTTTGCAGCCCCGCCACCTGGGACTTAACAATTGTGGGAATTTGTTGATACAGGTAGTCCTTGACTTACAACCATTTCTTTAGTGATCGTTCAAAGTTACAACAGCACTGAAAAAAGTGGCTTATGTCTGTTTTTCACATTTATGACCGTTGCAGCATTCCCCATGATCACGTGATGAAAATTTGGATGCTTGGTAAGCCGCCCTGAGTCTTCAGAGAGGGGCGGCATATAAATTTAATTAATTAAATTAAATTAAATTAAATTAACTGGTTCGTATTTATGACGGTCGCAGTGTCCCGGGATCATGTGATCTCTTTTGGCGACCTTCTGACGAGCAAAATCTATGGGGAAGCCAGATTCGCTTAACAACCGTGTTGCGAACCTAACAACTGCAGTGCTTCACTTAACAACGGTGGCAAGAAAGGTTGTAAAACGGAGCAAATCTCACTTAACAACGGTCTCACTTAGCAACAGAAATCTGGGGATCAACTGTGATCGTAAGTCGAGGAATACCTGTAGTTCATTGCAACTTGTCTAGACTGCTTAAATTTAGCCACATGGGGCTGCCCTTGAAGACTATTGAAAAAACTTCATAGGCCTGTTAATGGTTGGTGAATGCCATATACCACTTGTCCCTTTGCCCTACATTGCCCTTCAACTGCAATTGGGAGTACTGGTTTTAATTTATTTAGCCATTGTTTCTCAATCTTGGTAACGTGAAGATGTGTGGGTGGGGGGGATTTCAACTCCCAGAATACCCCAACCAGTTATGCCATCTCGGGAATTCAGGGAGTTGAATTCCCCCCTCCCGCTATCTTCAAGTTGCCAAGATTGAGAAATACTGCTCTATTGATCTGTTGGATATATCAGCACAGGATTGCCAACTTTACTTAGGTTTGGGTTTAAACTTGCATAACAAATACCTAAGGAGTTTCTTATTTTACGTGATAACCGGCAAGGTTGCAATATGGGCTACGGGCAGCGGCCCCAAATTCAAGGGGTTACTATTTGCTGACTTGAAGTCATGTGCAGTTTTTACTATCCGCTTGATGCAGTGAAACGTGATTAAACTCGGGTTTTGCTTCCCTTTTTAACTTGCTTGTCAAATTTCCCAGTAGTAAATGTTCATTCAATATGATGATCACAAGTCGATGATAAATCATTTTGGATCTGCAATGCGGAATCATAGGCTTGTAGTTATCTATCTGCTAATTTTAGTGGTAGGCAACCTAGCAACACCTTTTCTGACTAACCAATTTTAATAAAATTTGATCAAATTGCTTAGTTGGAAAAGGTGCTACCAAACGCTTTTGGATATATATATATATATATTTTGCCAATCGAAAATATATATATATATTTTTGCCAATTTGGATAGGAGAGAGAGCTATCTACATTCAGTAGATAGCTCTCTCCTACAATGTTTACTGCAATTATAGCTGAATTCACGACCTAGCTTAGAGGTTTACAAACATGGTAACTTTTAGATAAGTGGACTTCAACTCCCAGCTGGTTGCCTGGGGAATTCTGGGAGTTGAAGTCCACAAGTATCTTAAAGTTGCAAGTCTGAAAAACATGCTGGCTAGGGAATTCTGGGAGTTGAAGTCCACAAGTATCTTAAAGTTCTAAGTTTGAAAAACATGCTGGCTAGGGAATTCTGGGAGTTGAAGTCCACAAGCATCTTAAAGTTGCAAGTGTGAAAAACATGCCGGCTAGGGAATTCTGGGAGTTGAAGTCCACAAGCATCTTAAAGTTACAAGTCTGAAAAACATGCCAGCTAGGGAATTCTGGGAGTTGAAATCCATACAGATCTTAAAGTTGTAAGTTTGAAAAACATGCTAGCTAGGGAATTCTGGGAGTTGAAGTCCACACAGATCTTAAAGTTGTAAGTTTGAAAAACTTGCTAGCTAGGGAATTCTGGGAGTTGAAGTCCACACAGATCTTAAAGTTGCAAGTTTGAAAAACATGCTGGCTAGGGAATTCTGGGAGTTGAAGTCCACGTACCTTAAAGTTGCCAACTATGAAAAACATGCTGGTTGGGGGATTCTGGGAGTTGAAGTCCACATACATCTTAAAAGTTCCCAAGTTTCAAAAATTCACTGGCTGGAGGATTCTGGGAGTTGAAGTCCACACATATTTTAAAGTCGCCAAATGTAAAAAAAAAACAAAACAAAAACCACGCTGGCTGGGGGATTCCCGGAATTGAAATCCACTTATCTTAAAGTTACCAACTGGGAAAACATGCGTGACTAGGGGATTCTGGGAATTGAAGTCTACATGTCTCTTATAAAGTTGCCAAGTTTGAAAAATATGCTGGTTTGGGGAATTCTGGGAGTCGAAATCCACATGTCTTAAAATTGTGTGATGGAATGGAGTGGGATGGCTTCCCAGAAGGGAGGAGATGCATTGCAGAGGAGTAAGGAAACAACCATTTGGATATTTTGTGTGTGAGAGAGGGTGAGGACGGCCTCTCCCTAATAGTTCCCAAAGTATATGTTTGATGTAGGTAGTAGGTTACTTTAGCTGGGCAAAGTTCTGTCTATAGGTGTGGAACAATACAGAAACCTTCTTTAAATATTGGCTAAGTGTCTTTCTTGTTTTCGGGGGTCTGACAAGCTGCCAAAGGTGAAAAACACACAGGCTGGGGAATTCTGGGAGTTGAAGTTCACAAACATATTAAAATTGCTATCTACTGTCCTGTTGACATATATAATAAAAATAAACTCCTGGGACATTATTTTACCAAAAGGATAACTTTACTGATAGAACCAAATAAGCACAGTAGAAGCAAAAGCCAGTTCTGTAGTTTTCGTGCGAAAAACTGCATACAGGTATTCTCAACAAACAAACAAATCCATCCATCCATGGAAAACCAAACTGCTAGAATCCAGGTAGCCCTCGACTTATGAACCCCAATAAGCCCAACATTTCTGTTGTTAAGTGAGACCTTTGTTCCGTGAATTTTAGCCCCATCTTACGACCTTTCTTGCCACAGTTGTTAAGTGAATCACTGCAGCTGTTATGTTCCTAACTCGGTTGTCAAGTGAATCTGGCTTCCCGATTGACTTTGTTTGTCAGAAGGTCACAAAAGGGAGATCACACGACCCCGACAAGCATCTGAATTTTGATCACGTGACCATGAGACGGATGTTGCAAGTCGTAAGAGTGAACAATGTTCATAAGCCACTTTTTTCAGGACTGTTGTAACTTCAAAGTCGCCAAACAAATGGTTGTAAACATTTATATGCATGTATGTATGTATGTCTAAGGGATGCAGTAGCTCAGTGGCTAAGACGTTGTGCTTGTCAATCGAAAGGTCAGCAGTTCAGCGGTTCGAATCCCTAGTGCCATGTAATGGGGTGAGCTCCCGTTACTTGTCCCAGCTTCTGCCAACCTAGCAGTTCGAAAGCATGTAAAAAAATGCACGTAGAAAAATAGGGACCACCTTTGGTGGGAAGGTAACAGCATTCCGTGTGCCTTTGGCATTTAGTCGGCCACATGACCACGGAGACGTCTTTGGACAGCGCTGGCTCTTCAACTTTGAAACGGAGATGAGCACCACCCCCTAGAGTCAGGAACGATTAGCACATATGTGCGAGGGGAACCTTTATGGGTGTATGTATGTATGTATGTATGTACATTCAAATGACAATTGCAACACAACACAAGTTAAAACCGTAAAACGAATCTTTACCCTCACTCTACACCCGAGCTACAGATATATTCGCCACAACACAAGTTAACTTACCTTTTCCAGCCTGTCCAGTATATTGGAAACATGCTACACGTGAGAAGGAAGCCAAATTCTGGATATACCACAAGCCACTCAAAGTATAGGCCTCAAAGAAACCATGTCTTCTTGAATTGAGCCTCCGAGCAACTGGGAAGGGAGTTTTATCTGGTGCTGTGAGAGTCTGAACATCTCTCTTCTGGAGAACCAGTCGGCAGAAAGACAGTTTGATTGTATCTTCTCAACTCTTTAACGCCTTCTTCACACTGCGAGGAGCAAAAATTGAAGAGAGAGACACACACACACACACACATCTTACTCATCTAGGAAGTTGCATTTTCAAACAAGGGTGTCAGAGGAAATTGTTTACCTATCCGGTTGAAAAACCTGAGCCACAATTTGGCACCTATTCATTTCATTTTCATTTCATTTATTGGATTTATATACCGCCCTACTCCCGAAGGACTCAGGGCGGTGAACAGCCACAGAATAAAACACATAAATACAAAATTAAAAAACAGAATAAAACCGAATTAAACAATATGGCCGAGACAAATTTAAAACACCCAATAATTTTAAAAACAAATTAAAATTTACATTTTAAAGGGGAAAGATTTAGGCCAGGCCGGCTTGATGGAATAAAAAAGTCTTGAGAGCGCGATGGAATCCTCCGTATCTCCGGGGGGAGCTCATTCCAGAGAGTAGGTGCTCCCACAGAGAAGGCTCTCCCCCTGGGGGCCGCCAGTCGACATTGTTTGGCCGACGGCACCCGGAGGAGCTCCTGTCTATGAAAGCGTTCCGGCTGGTGGGAGGCTATTGATGTTAGCAGGCGGTCCCGTAAATAACCAGGTCCTAAGCCATGGAGCGCTCTAAAGGTGATAACCAAAACCTTGAAGCACACCCGGAAGACCACCGGGAGCCAGTGCAGCTCATGCAGGAGAGGTGTTACATGGGAACGCCACGTCGCTCCCATAACCACCCACATGGCGGGTGGTTATGTACCAACTCCTTCTAAAATCATGAGAGCTGAAGTTGTATATCAATCATCCGGTCATTCTTCTATGTGTTGTGCCAATGATAAAGATTTCTAAACTCTGTGCCAAGGAAAACTGGCTTGCCCACAGCGAGGACCGAAATATGCAAATAGAGATAACCTTGCCTTTTATCTTTTCAATTCATTTCACTTCATCCTGATGTTTACAGTTCAAGCCTGGCCATATCTATTCTTTTTATATATGCATTGCCTCGAGTTACTTATAAATTAGTAAAGGTGGGATAAACATCTGGTATATAAATCAAGAAGTGAGGCTGTGATCCAAGGAACCTATTTTTGCAGGCCAACAATATGGTGTTACAATGAACCCAAATATGATCATTCACAAAGAACATGACCGCAGCACAAGCTATCTAACACGTATTTTCCATAGTTTAGTTTAGTGGTGAAGGCCCAGGCTAGAAACTGGGAGACTGTGAATTCTAGTCCCACTTTAGGCACAAAAGCCAGCTGGGTGACTTTGGGCTATCACCAGGAGACTGGGAGTTCTAGTCCTGACTTAGGCATGAAAGCAAGCTGAGTGAACATGGGCCATTCGCTCTCTCTCTCAGCCCAATCCACCTCACAAGGTTGTAGTTATGCCTTGTCAGCAGGCTCCATCATCTTCGCCATTGATTTTTCTTATCTGTCAAACCATTCCACCTTTCTGCATATAGAATTTTCACTGCTATTATCATATATAAAAACAAAATTCCATTATTTCCTTCCCCCCCCCCCAACTTTTTGTCAGTCAGTCCCAAAAAACATCTCTGGCTACAGTTGTATATTAATTTTTAAAATCCTCTGAATTTATATATGTATTTGAATCCAATTTTTAAAGCTTTTTTTACATCCACCAAAAGTGATTAAAAAGTCCTCTTATTCACATTTCCAGCATAAATGAGAAATAGGTTCCTATACTTCAGACAATTTTTCCGTGTCAAATACCAACAGCTGATAATTTTACAAAAATTAAGGCTGTAATTAAGATGATTTTCTTTTGAATTGATGCATTTTTATCTTTTTCACTGTTATGAGCCATCTGGAGTGGGGGACACCAAAATTGAATAAAGTGGAAAGAAGACATTTTATGTCAAAACCTGATTTTAATTTTGTTTTTTTCAAATTTAACCTGAATTTAAAAGAAAAATCTTCTGGAACAAAGTGGTTAGATTCCCCCGCCTTTAACTCAAGAGATGTCAAACGTGCCTTTTAATAATGTACATTAAAAACAGTCAACATTTCAATTGCAATGTCATAGCTGCCAGTTTTTACTTTTCTGACCTACGTTGACAATATACAAGGAACTTTGTTGATGTATCAACCTTTGGCCAAATGAACAGGCAGTATTATCGAGGCATGGGGTGGGCATACTTTATAGCACAATTATTATTTGCAGATAGTGAGTTTATTGTTATGTCACAGGATTGATTTAAAGGAACTGCAACTCAAGTGCAACTGTGCACACAGTGTATACAATTTGCATAAAATGCAATTTGCATCCAGTGAAAAATATATAGTCCTGGGGGTTGAAGGCAAGATAATTTCATCAGCAGAGAATAGCTCCCTGGCCATCCTTTCAGATTTTGCATTGCAAATTGCAGTTTCTCTTCCATAAAGAAACTTTGCAGACTGCAAACTGCACTCTCAGCAAAACCCAGCGGACAATCGCTTTGATTTGAAAAGCTTTTCCAGAAAACCAGGGCAAAATTCGGACTATCTTTCCTCTTTTTTTTTGCATGGAATCCACCCAACCGTTAAAACTCCCCCGTTAGAATTTGCAACTACTTCTTTAACTGCAATTTTTAACTGCAGTTAAAGCAATTGGAGAGGGGAGGGTGGGGGAATGGCCCGGCCTGGAATGTTCCAAATTGAAATTGAGGTCGCGGGGGGGAGAACAGCTGGCAAGTCAACCTTCAGCTCATGAATAAAATAGGCTACAAGGTTGGAACGACTCACAATCTATTATCAATAAGTTTGCATTACAGCGGTCAGGAGATTTAGCTGGACATGTCTTTTCAAGAGAGTTAAGAAAGCTTTCAATCTCAAATCCCCCCTTTCATTTTGACGTTGGTATAGTCCTAAGGTATATTTTCCTTGCTTGCCGAGCTGGCTCGGCTCATTTTTGGGGGGAAAGGCGGATAATGCTATTTAGCTCGAACAAATCGCGTTTTATTTTCCTGTTGCGTTAGGGGCCTGTTTTGCAATTCTTTTTTAGTTATTTTCGGTTCGTTTTGATGTGGGGCTTTATTGAGGGAACCTGATAAGCCTATATATCAAGAAAACATTTTTCTACAGCGTTTTCCCACGTTCAGTTTCAATTAGTGGGGATTTTCCTTAGTTAAAAATGGAAGAAAAGCCTTTTTTTAAAAACAAGAGTTGCCGTTGCTGGGATTTTTTTCAAACCCAGATTTCTAAATCTCTGGCTGGGTTTATAGGTCTTCTGTTTTAAAATTGAACTAAGTCTACTCTTTCCTACATTATCTTCTATGTTAAGCTGGCTAAAGCAAACTTAGTTAAAAGCTGATTTTTACTGCGTTTTTTCATACCTGGGTTTTCTGTAGAATTCGGGTTTTGACCAGAAAAGTTTAGCGTTTTTTAAAGCAACACTTTTTTTTTAGTTAATGCTGAAAATGCCACTGGGGGGAAAAAAGTTGCAAAATAATTTTAAAAAGAAGAATTTGAAAGCAATTAAAGTTCTAGAAGTTTTTAAGAGTTCTCTGTTCAGAAGCCGTCCACCTATTTAATTTATAGGAAGGGAAAGGTGGGTAGTTCAATTTAGCTTAAATTTAGAAACTTTGTAATGAGATAAAGGAGCTGTTAAAGCAAAAAAAAAAATATTAACTGGGGCTTCTAATACTACTCTGAAACAAGCTTTTGCAAAACTTCTCAAAGATGAAAAATTGGGGGATGCTTTGTTAAAATTTGCTAAAAGGATTTGGGTTGGTCTTCAAAAGAAAGAATAAACCACATTTCATAGCTTCAAGTTAAATGGCTGCCTTGCTGTTCCTAAGGCCCTTTCAACATCTCTAATAATATTTCATGAAATACATACGGAGAAATACACATAAAGGGCCTACGATAAGAGAAGAAAACATACTCCTACGGGGAGGAAACGTGATGAGGGTGTGGCTAACTGAGGAGGACTAATTAGTCTGAAATAGATCTATATTAATCTCCCAAAAGGCAGCAAACTGCTTATTTGCTGTCTGATAAAGCCTATAGAACTAGTGGATGGGATTTCACTGAGCTATGGCTGCATTTTGAAAATCTTGGTTTACGTAGGAAAATACCTGGCTGAGGAGAAATACACATATATACACAAAGAAAGGGATTCCTAGCCCAGTTACTATTGCATCAGGTTTATTTTGCCAAAATATACTTAGTTCCCTAATCCCCCCCTCTCATTTCTTCCATTTTAAGTTCTTGATTCTGAGGTAGAAAAGGCGAAGCTTTTTCAAACAATTTTGTAGTGATGGCAGGCTTTTCATTAATAAGTGTGACACAGTATGTTAATAAAATGGAATAAACCTTATATCTTGAAGCTAAATAAAATTAAGATTTTTATACCACCTTTATATAGATAAGGCAGTAAACATACTTAATACTCCTTCCTCATGTTTTCCACACAATGATAGACATTTGGCTCCTAATTTTTAATTACTTATTTGGCCTGTGTTTCTGCTATCTTTGGAACCATCCGGCCTTAATTTTCCAACAACTTACTCTCTGGAAATGACAGTCTTTTCATATTGAATAAATACTTGTCCGCTTGCCTGACAAAATTTCCTTAAATTTTTGATTAAAGTATTTGTATACATCATTTTTTTTGCCCTAACAATAAGTTTTGGAACATTTCTACAGATCTCAATAGGTAACAGTCCTTCAGTATTGGCCATTTGAACAAAATGTGATTTATATTGCCACCCATTTCAATTTACAAAAAGACTTGATTTTTTAATGTACACAAAGGACATCCAATATTCTTTGCACTTAGGGGTACCATTTTGACTTAAAAAAACAACAAGGGGCTCTTTGGCCAAACAAATAGACTGGAATAGCAATATATAGGGCAGGCAGGTTGCTTATAAAATACTTCGTAACCCAGTTACTTGAAGAAAGTTTAATTCAGCACAAGATAGATTTAAAGGGACCGCTATTTGCATCTCATAAAAGTGCAGTATACTTGATAAAATAATTTCATCAAGTGGAGGAATTTATTCATACTCAATATGTATATA